CAAGATTTTCTTCTGTTAAAAATGAAGAGTTGGACTAAAGTCGAGCTCTTAGAAGGAGAATTGCAAGAATCGTGAGACCTCGTGAGAATTGCAAGATCGAGATTTTCTTTACATAATACTTTAAGACAAAAAGGAATCGTAGATTAGCTCGTCTCCAAAACTCGAAATTCGGGTACTTCAAATGACGACAAAGAACTGCTCAATTTCGATTAATTTCATTTTGTAATGCTACAATATTCGATAAATTTTTATATACTTCCAGATTCATATATGTACTGTTTGACTTGGTATTTAAATTATGATAGACTTTAATTTTAAAATTGATGTGTAATTTAATTTAGTAGTTCAATTGTGCTAGTAAAAAAAATATATATATTTATAGGTAATTTATTGTAAAAAATAATATATATATATACAAAACTGTACAGAAACATTTGCGACGAATATAATAATTTTCGTCGCAAATAAAATACGTCGATGTACTATATTCGTCGTAAATCTTGTGTTCATAGAATTAGGTTGTGACAAATAGTATGAAAGCGTCGCAAATAAAAACAGTTGCAAATATTTGCGACGATATAACGAGTTCGTCGCTAATACCATATTATTTTATTTTGTTCAAAAAATTATTTTGCGACAAAAACATAAGAACGTCGCCACAAACGGTGACGATTATGTAGACATAAATGTCGTAAACAAAAAAATATCTAATTTATTAGATAAAATCGACTTTTGGCGACGAAATCGGAATTCGTCGCCCCTCTTGCGACGAAATTGTTATTTCGTCGCAGCCGTTGCGTCGGTTACATTGACATCGAATTTGGACCCCAATTGCGACGAAATTGTTATTTCGTCGCAGCCGTTGCGACGATTACATTGGCATCGAATATGGACCCCCATTGCGACGAAAGTTTCATCGTCGCAGTAGTTCTAATTTCTTTACAAGAGGCCTAATTTCGTCGCAAATTTGCGTCGTCTGTGGCCGATTTTCTACTAGTGTCAGCCATGCCAAGAACCTTACCATAATAGCCTCCCGATCCTCCTCAATGTTCACTCGGATCATTGAAATTTCCATCTCCTTAAAGTATTCGTCAACACTCCGATTTCCTTACTTCAAATTTTGCAGCTTTTGATACAACTCTCAAAAGTAGTAGATTGACACGAACCGCTTCATCATTAGGGTTTTCATCTGCCACTTTAACTTTTTCAATTTTCTGAAGCCAAGCAATAATGTCCCCCTACTCAAGTCAAAAATGCATTATCAGCTACTCATGTAATAAGAATAGAAATTCGGGTGATGATAGTACCACATCACACATTGTTCCACGCGCCCCAAGCATCACAAAAAAATGAGCAATGGTTTGAATCACTCAAGTGTCTCAATTTTCACCTTATCATCACTAGTAAGGCACCATGTGCAAACATCAGTTATTAATTATGTGTTTTTCTAAGGCTCGAAGATTCAAATCAATTACTTAATTGAACCAAAAGATTCAGTTAACATTAGTGTTCGTAAGGTATACCGTATCGAACCGTTCCAAAATTTTGATAAACCAAAATAAAAAATGTACGAAATGACACTAGAAATCACAAAATATAGATACCTGATTTTGATTGATCTCAGTGTTAAGAAAGTTAGGAGGTACTAGCAGTGGAGCTCACCGCGTTGGAAACCTTGATCCTTTATGTAAACAATCCTAGTAGTGGGATACGTACATCATTTTTGGATGTCACAACACTCTCAAGATTTAAATTACTACTTATTTATTTCATAATATTTTGTCCGAATACATCGAATATCACTTCACATGAAATCACTTCTCCATATATTATATTAATATTCAATTACGAGGCCTAAATGAGGGAAAAAACTAGTGAATTTTTAATTTACACGCAAACTATCAATTATCTATGTGAAGAAATGAGGAAGCTATCAAAGGCCTTATAATTAACAACTACAACCCGTTATTCACCATTCATAAATTTAGCAAGATGTGCAGTTTCACATCTATCAACAACCATCCAATAAGCTATACAAGATCTGAAAAATATAAAAAATATTGTGAAAAATCCACTTTAATCTGGGATATAAGAGGAGTTGGTTATGAACCAGCTCACAAACAATTACACCACAAACAGATGGGGCGGATGATAATGCCGAAATACGCGTACTTCGGATTCTTATGGAATTTTCGTCAAAAGAGATTCCCAATTGACATCTCCCACAAGCAAAAGAAGTTAATAACCTCGATTAAATAATAGTTTTTCTTTGTCATGTTCGATGAACACGTGTTAAATTATTAACTCAACAATTCAATAATTCACTAATTAATAGAATTTCCCTGGTCCCAACTGTATTAATTTATAAAAGTTTAATTGTGTTTATTTATTATGAGAATTCTCATTTCCTTAAAATAATAAATTATCATATAAGGCATATCATAGTTCTCCATATTTTTATACTTCTTCTAACTTAGTTGGACTATGTACACGTTATTCTTAGACTTATAAAAGAGGGACAGAGGCAACGGTGATTTGTGTGCCTTTTTAGGCGAAAAGTTTTCTACTCTCTTTATTGCTCCATCGTGAGAAACATATTTTTTCATGGAAAATATATCGTTTCAAGGCTTTGTGAAGAAGAAATGTTAGTTCTTCGCAAGAGAGTTTAAAAGATCTTGGGAGAAGATCGATCCGCCGACTGAAGGGACTTAGCGTTAAAAGGAGTTCAACCGTGCGTAGAGGAGGCTGGCATAATCGAAGTTACTAGTTTTGAGTATTTCACAAGAACGGTGTCAGGAGGATAATGAGAAAGTCTTTAATTTATTGTTTAAGACTTAATATTGTGCTTGTAAAACTAAAATAGTGAAAATTGGTTTTGCAGATCCTCGTGGATGTAGGGTACAATTGTATCCGAAACACATTAAATTTGTGTCTCGTTTGAATTCTGTTTTTACGAACTGTTACAACACTTTACACAACAGAAAAAATGAAAAAAAAACTAAATCTAACACAATTAATTAATATTTGCACGAAACTATTCTAGCAACTTCAGATATTGAAATGTTAAATGTCGTTTCAATTTTACTAATGTCGTTTTGACTTCGAACCTAATTTTGACATATTTCTATTTTGATTTTGGCAAAATTCGAAACACGAAAACTATAGTCCTTTGGGTTAGCTTTCTAATCCAACTTAAATCCGCTAGTTTGGATGTCGTGTGACAATGCATGACTTAGTCACATTTTGAATTTTAGATACCTCAATACATCAAAGTTGTGGGCAGTATCCATTGATTCATATATATCTTTCTCGTCCGACATCCAATTCTGGTGATTCAAGTTGGATTAGAAAACTAACTTAGAATACTACAAATTCTATTTTTCATGTTTTGCAAAATATGGAGTTAAAAATGATCAAAATCACGTTTGAATTCATGAAGGTATTATTAAAGCTCGAGCGATAAATCCCATGTAGATATTATAACCAGTTTAAAATTTTCCTTCACGTAAAAGGAACATGGGGTTTTGGTTTAAAAAATTATGACACTCGTTTATTTGTTTATTCATTGACACATTTGCAGTCTTCTTATTTCATGTTCAAAATATATTTAATACTTATTATATTTTGATAGTTCCATACCTTGATTGAAATATTCGATTCACTACTAGAAAACATACATATTGCGACATCGTAATACGTCACTACAGCAAGATGTCGTGACACTTCATCTATTGTGATGCCTAAGAAAAGCGTCATATAGGTGGCCGTCATAATAGATTTTAGTGACGACATAGGCATCACTAAAAGTATGTTTTTATGACATTCTTTGTGTCATTTTCTGACACATATTGTGACGCCCACAAGCGTCATCTTATTAATTTTTCAACTACCATAACTGACTTTTTATGTGACGCTGATGAGCGTCTCTAGATGTGAGCTATGTTGATGCTTTTTATTGTCTCGACAACAATTTATAATGACACAGTTGGTCGTCGCATTATCTATATGTTGCGACGACCATAAGCGTCACGTTATTTATCACTAACTACCATAACTACCTCTTTAAATGACACCAAACGACGTCATTAAATATGGCTATAGTGACGATTTATTGTCTCAATGTGTCTCGATAAATATTTTTTGTGACATTTGTATATCCCATTAACGTGGCTATAATGACGCTCAATGTACCTAGATTATGTGTCACTTTTTATTTCCCATGACTGCATATAATCTATAATTAAAATAAAAAATAAAATTAATTATTATATACATACAAGAGCTTAATCCAAGAACACAAAAATCCAATACATATATAAACACAATCAAACTGAAGCCATTTAATTTAATGTCTCAAAGTTGACAATAATATTTAAGTAGCAAGATTCCAACATCCAAGTATTCAATCTCAAACCATCTCAAACAATCTCCTGTACACTTCACAGGTCCATAGTAGTTCAACTCCAATTTCCAAAAAAAAAATGAACTTCAAAGAATAAACTAAGTTGAAGACAAATTTCTTAAATATAAACTGCCTTCAAAATAGATTCAAAAGTATAGCTAGCTTGATCATCGATCGTACGCAATTGTCTTCAAATTCTTTTATGAGTCCAAAGTAACCTATTAACATTACCAAATATTAATTCAGTTCAAAAGAAACGACTATTAGTTAAGTTTTGATGAGATATATAAGAGATCGTTACCAAAGATTGTGGCCAAGCAACCGTCAATCCAATAGCCTCTCCGATAGTTTTAAAATTTGAAATGCGTCGAATTAATAGCTCATCAGGGTCAACTTCTACATTAATATGAACCTCACACCATCTTGGTCCCAAACGCACTTCTCCTACTTTTTTTGATGAATCTAAACTTTGAATGTTTCCAATAGCCACATTTTTGGATGGTTCCGATATACTTTTCAGACATACTTTTGCTCCGACCTACAATCAAAATTTATGAAGCTTTACTTAGTTTACGACTTATAATTGTCCACTTAAATCCTAGACTTCTTCTACATTATTTTCTTGTAAATCATCCACTGGAATTTCAAGAACTCCATCTCGCACCCAGACAACATCTCCATCTTCAATAATAGGACGATCATTGCAAGTTTTACTTTGCAAAATTGTATCGATATCATCAGTAGACATGTCATTGCCATCATCATATCTGTCTCTGGCCTTAGTTTTTATAACAACACGCCAATCCTTTTCTGTGGGGTCCTCTACATAAAATACTTGCTCAACTTGAGATGCAAGCACAAAAGGTTCATTTTGACGCTTTATGTTAGTGAAATTAGCCAATGTAAATCCATCAGGCAGTAATTGTTGCATTAAGATATGACTATCGTGACTCTTTAGCCCAAATATCTTTGGTGGCTTAAGTTGCACACATCTTGATACATTTGCAGCATAACCATCAGGCACCTTGATTTTTTTCAAAACCCTACAAAAAATTTCCTTCTCACTCTTATTAAATGTGAATGATGAAGCTGGCATCCATTGTTTACCAAACTCATCCACAAAAGGATGAAGACCAGGCCTTATGCCCATCTTTTGCAAATCAAGCCGCGCCTTATAATTATCGCTTGACTTGTCAGAATTCATTAATGTGTATAAAACTTTATCACACACATTTTTCTCTATATGCATAACATCAAGATTATGGCGCACCAAATTTTTTTCCCAATACGGCAAATCAAATAGAATGCTTTTTCTCTTCCAACCGTAAGGTAAATTTTGATCACCGGTGTTTCTCCCAAACTTGTTTTGAATATCCTTTACATCATCTAATATTGTAGATCCCTTCAAATAAGGAGGTGCATTTCGGTGCTCTTGTGTGCCATCGAATGACCCTCTGTCGTTTCGATATGGATGATCTGCTGGTAAAAAAATACGATGGCACATATAACAATATTTATGAGAGTTATACAACCATTTGGAGTTGGTAAACTTGTAACATACTGGACATGCATACTCTCCTTTAGTACTCCACCCAGATACAGCTGCAAGTCCCGGAAAATCACTAATAGTCCAAAGTATTGCTGCACGCATTTGGAAATTTTCTTTTGATGAAGCATCATAAGTGTTTACTCCAACATCAAACAATTCCTTTAACTCAGCAATTAATGGTTGGAGGTATACATCAAGATTATTTCCAGGTTCTGTGGGTCCGGGAATAAGTACAGACAACATAAAGTACGATTTTTTCATACAATGTCCAGGTGGCAAGTTGTACGACATTAGGATTATTGGCCATGTACTGTGAGTGACATTCATGGTTTTAAAAGGATTAAAACCATCAGTTGCCAAACCTAATCTTACATTGCGCGGGTCTTTGGCAAAGTCCGGATGATGGTAGTCAAAAGTATGCCAAGCAGGAGAATCTGCGGGGTGTCTCATGAATCCATCTTTGGTCCGCTTTTCTTCATGCCACTTCATAAGCGAAGCAGTTTTAGAATTCATAAACAATCTTTGTAACCTTGGTTTCAACGGAAAGTGCCACATGATTTTTGCCGAAACGTTTTTATCTTTTTTAGATTTTTTTGAAGGAACACCATTTCCGTCTTCAATACGGTCTGGAATTATCCATCGTGGCTCGTCACAAGTCTCGCACCTGGTCTTACTCTCATTAATACCCCAATATAGCATGCAATTGTTCCTGCATGCATCAATCTTTTTATAATTCAGGCCCAACTCTTTCAATATCTTTCTAGTTTCATAGTAGTTTATAGGCAATTGGACACCTTCTGGAAATGACTCTCTTAATAAATTAAGAATCAAGGTAAAAGAAGTGTCACTCCAATTACCGAGACACTTGATATGAAGCAATCGAACAATGAAAGAAAGTTTAGAAAACTTTTGACATCCTGGATAGAGCTCTTGTTCTGCATCTTCCATAAGCTTATAAAATTTCTCAGCTTCTTTACAAGGTCTTTCTGCTTGTTCTACTCGTGGCTCTCTTTCGAAATCATCATCTTCATCATGCACCCCAAATCTATCATGTAGCATTTCTTGCATATTATCAGATGCATTTATGTCAATGTAATCTTGTGGTACTTGTGCTTGATCAGTGATAGTCTCTCCATGAAGTAGCCATTTAGTATATCCACATAAAAAACCATTCCAAAGAAGATGTTCTACCACTACATCCCTTGTTTTGCAAATGGCGTTTTTACATTTTTTGCAAGGGCACAAGATCATCCCATCGGTAGAATTCGAGAAGGCAAAGTCGAGAAAATATTTCAGCCCTATATGGTATTTTGTGCTTGACCTTGGAAAATCCATCCATTTTTTGTCCATACTAATATTTTTCGTCAAAATAGGAACAATTATGATGAATATAGAGGTACTGAGAACTTAAACTAAAATACTTTCTTAGCTAATTGAAATAAAAAATAACATTTACGGAAACAAATTGCAAACATTAGATTCGCACAATGGTACATACTGTGTGATTCATGTTCAATGTATTTGAGAAATAAATGGAAAAGTAGGACTCAAGTAAGAGATTAATATATTTTTATCATAATCATTTGATCAAGTCATCAGATTAGCTCACTAAATAGATTCTAAACTTGTTAGCACAATTTCAATTCGGTATATAGATACACGCACAATAACCTCACACACACACAACACACATATTTTCAGAAATACTTTACAAACATTTCATCATCGATATACGTTTCTAGTGTCCCGTATCAACAATAGGATTACTTTCTAGTTTTTCTCCTATACTTTGAATTTTTACTTTTAAAAGATTATGTTCTAACTATCGAGGAACCCTCCTACCATTGTATATATGAGGCGACCTACGGAATCAAAAATTTATTCATACACCAAATAATTTAAAAATCTGCACAACACCCAATTTCAAATCAATAAAAGAGAAGCCCTCGTTTTGAAATTTTATATAACTAAATTATATAAATTAATCCGTACATGTTAATGAGTTCAATAAGGCAAAACCACAAAATCAATTGAGTTTTATTTTTCTAATAGAAACTCAAATTACCCAATACACGTTTAGCAAATTGAGCCCAAAATAAAAACACCAAGAGAGATTAATCGCCAAAATAAAAAAGCAACAAACATTAATTAATTTTACCTCGAAGGATTTGCAACTGAGAAATTGTATTCGAGTGTTTTTTGCTTGATTGGGTATGTCGACAATTCATAAGAAATTACAGTATTCACACCTAATAGAATTTATAAGCAAAAGGTCTTCTTCAATTCTTCTTCTTCTGGGTGAGTAGAGTAGGTTACGAGAATTCCCAAATATTGCTACTCTTAGAGCAACTCCAACCAATTGTTATCAAATGGGGTTATCAAATACTCATTTGATTACCAGGAATTTATTTTGATATCTCTATACAACTAGTGAACTCCAACCACAAGTATCAAAAAACAATTATCAAAAAAATTTATGATTATTTATATATTATTTATTTTGTAATCCATTTTAAATAATCATACAAACAATCATAAAAAATTTAAAAAGTATTAAAAAGAATTCCCAGGAGTTAATGATCATAAAAAAAAGTATTAAAAAATTAAGCAAACCTAGAAATTGCTTGAAGTGTCTTCAATGGTGATTAATACACCGAGTCGGCCTTCGATGATTGTGTGGAGAATTTTGATGTAGCAAATTATTATATATAAAAAGAATTCTTTTTTCCGTGGAAATTCGGTGAAGACCTAGAAAAAAAAATATGTTGAGATATTTTTGAGATTGTTTTTTCAAGTGGAAATTTGTTGAAGAGAAAAATTAATTTAATTTTGTTGAGATTTTTACGTGAAAAGAAAACTCAATTTTGTTGAGGTTTTTCTTTTTTCATGTGCTCCTATTTTTTAGGAGAATATTTGATAATTATATATCTAGGATGTATTTTTACTTCCGGATATTGGAGTTATCAAAATAGAACCCTATTTTAATAACCCCATTGTAGAATAAAATTTTTTAATTTGGGGAGTCAAATGGAGGTTAGGGGATTTGATACCCCATTTAATAACCCCGTTGGAGTTGCTCGTGGGGGAAAAAATAGAGAGAAGAAAGGAATATAAAGATTTTTATATGAATAAAAGGAGACGTGATTTGTTGCCGCTAAAATTGAGAAGGGAAACGTGTAATTTATTGAAATATTTTATGAGGTCTTATATTTTGGTTTCTACCCTTTTTGTGTCGGTAAATAAAAAGGATATTAACACGCTTTATTAATGCGTGTCAACAGTTACGCTATATTATGACAATTTATTTCAAAGCGTCGTAAATTATATTTTTTCTAATTTACAAAAAAACGATAAAAGTAGAAACGCGGAAATCACCGATACTTTTAGTTTAAGGTGTCATAATAGAATACTTATTGAAACAATTTTTAAACCGTGTCATATTAAGGTGTCATTAAGGCGTCATTAAAGAGTGATTTTCTAGTAGTGATTCTGAGGTGTTTTCACAATTCAGGATTCATTCTAACTGTATAGATGAATAATTATTAATTTCTCGAATATTGAATATTTTAGTAGGTTGATAAATTTTTAGTCTCAATTCTATTAAATTATAGAGATCTAATGGTTACTAAGAATTACTCTATATATTGAACAAAACCTATGGAAATATAACATCATATATATAACATACCCTTCAAATCATCTAATGCTAAGTATTTTATATAACATCATATATATTGCTTACCATTCAAATCATCTAATGCTAAGTATTTTCTATATGATCAAGCTCGAGATAACAATGGTACAACCACAAGTTCAAAGAAAACCTAAATAATATATATACTTTTGTATTCCTTCATGACAAGCAACTAGAAGGTTCGATAGGGCCAACTGTTGTACCAACTGCATTCAAACACGATGCTCGAGCTGGTTGATTTTTGTATTTTAGGTGAACACTTTCCAATTTTATCCCTTGGCATGGACTTGCCTTACTACAATCGAATTTCACTGCAATTCCCGTTGCCGATGTACCTTGAATATCGTGATAAGTAACATCACTTATTTTCACGCCAGATACCTATGGAAGAAGAACATCAAAAAATGAAATGAGGTTGAAATATTTTTTTTGAAATTGTTCAACTATTAGTTAGCTGATTAAGTGAAAAATTAGTGATGATTATTGTACCTGTCCAGGGCAATTTTTGTTACTGGGGCAGTAATTTTGATCAATTACTATGGGATTTTCCACATTTGTCATAATGGCATGTTGGAAAAGAATATTCCTCACAAATCCCTTGCTTGGTTTTGCCCATGTTTTTATCCTCAATCCGTTTTGTGTACTACTCAACGTTACGTTTTTCACAGTCACGTTTTGGACCCCAGCCTCGTCAAAATCCTTCCCTAAACTTCCAATGCTGCAAAATCAATGCAATATGCATTAAAAAAGAAAAAGTCATATGGAAAAGCTATAATCTTAAAATATATAAAGACCTTTTCTTTTAACTAGTTTGTCCTTAAGATATTTATTCTAACACAAATTATATCATGTTAGAATCGAAAAGTTTGAACGACATCTAATTAATGCCTCGTTTGGTCGACAAAATAGAATTATGAATTATCTAATATATATACAATTATGCAATATTAGGAGGTTTGTTGGACTAGAGGGGTTCAACCTACTATGCCCCAATAAATCGGGTTACTCATTTTCCCAAAATTTTATAATCGTGACCCAAAAACTTTGGGCGCCCCATTAAAAAACATTGTAGCAAAACCAAAAACAAATTATTACCTAATTATTTGATTGATCAATTAAACGACACCATAATCAAGACAATTTACGAGTATGAAGAGACGTTACCTAACGCCATGGCCAGGACCACAGTGAACTTTTTCGATCAATAAATTGGTGGTGCCCGGTCCTATGGATACACAATCATCGCCGGTGCTAATTTTGGATTGCAAAATAGAGATCCCTTTCGAGAGTTGGACATGAATCCCATCGGTGTTTGGGCTATTTCCAGAAGCCAAAACATTCACTCCTTGCAACTTCACGTTTTCGCAACCATTTATTACTATGTGGAACATTTGGCTGTTCCGTGACGTCAATCCATTTATTGCCACATTTTTCGAATTCGAAAATGCCAAAGTCTACAGATATCAAAATGAAAAAAGGAAACAAATCGTTGCATTATTCTATGTAATACCAATATCTCAATAAACCCATAAATTTTAAACTAGAGTTAATTAAATTTGAAGTAGATACGTAGAATAATCACTTAAGTTGGTTTTGAGTGATTATTTCTAAAAGTTGAAGGTCCCACCAAATATTCTGAAAAATGAACTTAAATATAAAAAATAGAAATATGGATGCTTTTAAAAAAGTAGCTTAAAGCAGCTTATTTTAAGAGAAGCAAAAAAAAAAGAGTTAATTTTACAAATACCTAAAAACAGATTATGAGCAAAAAAAAACTCATAATCACTTTCAAAAAGCTTTTGCAAACATCACCTAAATTGTAAAAAAATAATTGAAGTAGTATTATTTTCTAATTAACCTAGCTAATTAATGTTAAATAAAATTTAAAAAAAACAAAAAAAGCCGAGAGTTGGATCTCATAATTACCAAATAACCGTGACCCTCCACTCCTTCACTACTCACTATAGCCTAAAATCGGTTAATCTAATAAAGCAGTTAATTAATTCCTGCAAATCAACATCACTTAACATCCCACATGATAAAAAAGAAATACCAACTTCGTCTAACACATCATATTCAATACCCAAAAATAAAAATAAAAAAATAAATAATAATGACAAATAGCATAGCCAAAGAAACATATTTACCGTAACGCCACTCGGACAATTCTTGCCGTTTTTCTTGCAAGCCCACAAAGCCACCCCTCGACCGTCTAGAGTGCCCCCGTTTATCGAGACTCCGTCAGCCCACTCAAAAAGGAGCCAATAATTAGCATCCCCGATGTCGTTGTAGTTGGTGGGGGCCACGAGGATTCCGTCGACCCGAAAAGTTATGCCTTTGTTTCTGCATGGACCCTTGAAGTTTAGGTGTTTGATCAAGAAGCTACCCTTTGGAACATATATTATGGATGGGGTTTTCGACTCGCAAGCTAAAGACCACGCTTTCGACAATGAATTTGTCGAGTCACCTTTGCCGTTAGGGTTTGCTCCCAATTTCAAGATATTGTATGTTGTAATTTCTATGGCTAATGTTTCTTGGCATATTGAAAGAAAGATAACCATAAGTTGTATAAAGAGAATGGTGGCAATTTTAGCCATATTATTGCTTTGTTCAAAGAATATTCTTTTCTTTCTTTTTTTTTTTTTTTTTTTTTTTTTTTTGAGAATATGGGATTATTGGGTTACTTAGTGGGGAGTTAAAGAAGTTAATTAATTAGAAGCATTTATATATAGTTTAATTTGAATGCCAAAAGTGGGGGTTGGGGGTAGGAAGCAAGAAATGAAATAAAATTGAAAGCAATTTTTGGCCACTAATTCATAAAGCAAACCGTTTATAACCAAAGCATGTAACAAACAACAGACCTTGCTTGGGTTATTAATGTCAATAGTTGTATGGATGTGCATAAATTTTTCTTTTATTGTATACATTCTCATTGTATTTTAATTGACATAGAATTTCTTGTTTTGGTTTAAGGTATGTTAATTGGGAATTATGGTTTGGATGTAGTTTTTTAAGTAGCATAAACTTTGTCGTGTTGGTTAATGTAAGTTAGGAATTCTTTTGCTTTTAAAATGTTAGTTGATTTAGTTTTTTCGTCACGCAGTCGTATTAATTGGACGGCGAGTCGATATAGATGCTCTTACCCGCCCGCCATCAATATTACTCAAATTTGCGTTACGACTAGAGTCGGTAAATAAAGAATTTGCGTTAGTCAGTAAATAAATTAAATTATTGAAAATGCGGATCAAAAACTGATGGAAAATAATTAATTTCCGTTTCATCCATTAAAAGTTGGGACATCTGCAAAATGTCCCTAGAGATTGAAGTTATAACAGCTAAAAGTAGGGTGGGTACTGTCTACCAACTGTATTTTATGATGGTATTTAAACTTTTTATACTTTCGCCATACCAAACATTTGGTATACGAATGCTCAATATACTATTACTTTTGGTACGGTACGGTTGGTCGTGGTATTCTATCATATATATTATTTAGGCTTAATTATTGAAAGGGCAAATAGTTGTACCCCTCACTTTTCCCTCTGAAAATATAAAAAGGAGACAGTTCCACTTTGAAATATACAGCATGTTGCACTTTGCCCCATAGGTGTTTTTTCGGTGACATTTTCGTCGAATTTGAGTAATTTCTAAGGGTAATTTTGTTACCTTTTAGTGCTTTTGTTTTCTCGCCAAATACGAAATCAGATTCAGAGTCAGATTGCCATATCCTTGAAGGCCTTTAGAGTCGGGCTTTCATGTTTTGAAGGAATTTTTCCATGGACTAACTTAATGTGTGTCCAAAAATAAAAAAATAAGAAATGCTAAATCACGCACGAAAATTAAGAAATCACACACACAACTAAAAATTTTATCTCTCTTAAATCATCCAAAATCCAGAAACCATCCACTCTCATCTACACGATATCCTACACGAAATCCTAGAAAATCTTTCAAATTTGAAATTTGAAGAAAATCTTCACAAATTTAAGCTACAATTAAGACAATACTCTATCTTTAGCTACTAATTTCATGATTGGAACGGATTGCGACGGATTTAGGCCACCATTAAGTAATGGTTTGTTTGATGCTATATCCGAAGAAAAACATCGGGTGATTATTAACCGTTGATCTGCACACAATCATACACACACACCATGTGTATGTGTGCATAGTGGGAAGTTATTTCACCGTATCAACAATTAATAATTATCCATTGTATTTAACCAGGTATAGTATCTCAAAAAGCATTACGTAATAAACAAAATGGTGGTTAATCAAGAAGGCTTGGAATTCTGGTATCAAAATAGGTAATTCCAGTACAAGAATAAACAAATAAGAAATATATATATATATATATATATATATATATATATATATATATATATATATATATATATATATATATATATATATATATATATATTGAAAAATCACCTAGAACACCGAAATCTTCATTGTAGAAACAATTAATATAGTTGATTAGGTTCATCCATTGTCTAATTAGAGAATGTACAATGTACGCATTAGCCAGTCGCTACAACAACAAAGGACTAATTTGGGGACATTCGCAAGCCAGAATTTCGGCCCAAAAAATACGCATAAACGTAGGATGCACAATAAGATAGCTACCAATAGGGGCCAAGGCTCTTGGGTTCACTGAAAAATACACCCGCACACAGCTTTTTTTTTATGAGAGACACGCACACACAACATAGACTAACATACATATGCATAGTGATTGAACCAATTTATATGTGTTTATAAATTTAAGGGTTTATTTGAGATAGGTTTACATAGACACGGCCACGGGCCGGTTCCGGGCCGGTTCGGACCGGTTCACGGTTCACATTTTCCGGAACCGGAACCGGAACCGGCCCAGCATTAGTTTACATTCCATTTTTTTTTTAATTTTAATTTCTTCTTCCGGCGGCGGAACGTCTAAGATCCGATTAGCTGACTTAACATTAGTTAACTTCAACTTTAGTTGACATTCCATATCTTTTTTTAGTTTTTTTTTTTTATTTTTTTCCGGTGGCGGGTAACTAACTCATTATTAGTTAACTTCAACATTAGTTGACATTTGACATTCCATTTTTTTGTTAAATTGTTTTTTTTCGACAACCCAGGCCACCGCCGCAAAAAAAAATTAAAAATGAAGGGAAAAAAATCGAACTGGATTGGGTGAGACCGGCTTGGTGGATGGGTGGTGTGGGTGGGATGAGATGGGGGTGGGTGATACATATCTCAAAAAGAAATATTTAAAGCTATTTTACGAATTCATGTTTGTGTGGGTTTATTTGAAATGAAAATTAAAAAAATAAGTTAATTTGTAGTAAAATTTCATTCCATGGGTTTAGCTCAAATTCACGTTGCTAAAGAGAAAAGTTAAAAAAGATTTTGTATCGTTTCTTGACCAACATCGTCCCAAATAGTTGACATTATATCTCCAGAATAAATCCTACGCCTTGAGCTGATGAAAAAAAGATCCACCAACGATTGGCTAAATCATTTGGATTCCACGAAAAAAAAGGCCAAAACTTATTTGTTCATATCGTTTTGAAAAATAAAAAAAATGACTGATAAAAGTTAGAAAACTCACAAAATATACAAAATAAAAAATATTACCTACTGACACAATTCCTCAGTTGCCTAAAACAGAAAAAGTGGACTTTCATTTTAACTACAAGCATCAGACTCTTCATTACTTTTTTTTCTTTTTTACCACAAGGTTGCCAAGGGTTTATTCGATTTAATATATTAGGATTACTTAATAATGAAAATACTTCATATACTACAAGCTAGTAATTAAATCAATTGACCATATTATTAGGAGTCAAAACATTGGTAGCCTTTGAAAATTGAGGTCATTTATATAAGAAATAATAAAAGTAAACATTATTACGACGATATCTACGCTGCTGTCGTGAATGATAAGCTGAAGCAATCGAAACATCTCCACCGGCTGCACTTTCGCATACACTCTCGCACACACCAGAAAATGAACCACCAAATAGATAATTTATATCTATTTGACAAGTTTACGAGTTCGATCCTAAAACACCATAGAAAAGCGTGGAAAACATTATTAATGTAATGAAGAATGAAGCAGAGAGTTTTGCCATTATTCTTTTTTATTTATTTATTTATTTTTTAATAAAAGGTTAGATATTTAATTTCTTCGTGACTGTTGTAAAAAAAATTAGAAGGAATAAAGATATAAACCTATTTATTCATATTTTATGTAAAATAAACAACTTAAAAATTACTAATATAATTATAAACAAACAAAAATTACAAAATACAAAATATTATCTCATGAACCACTTAAAAAATAGCCAAAAGCAAAGGACTCTTCATGTCTTTCGTAAATATAAATTAAATTAAATTATAACCGAAATATAATCTAGAAATTGACTAGAAATAAAAACTTCAACAAAAAAAAAAAGTAAGTAAATAAAATAAAAATCATTTAGATCAGTAGGAATCATTGAGACCGAAACATACTTGTTCACATTTTGTGTAAAAACAACAAATTTAAATGACTGGTAAAATTTATAAACCAACAAAAGATACAAAATAAAACTACACCTCAACCAGTAATTTGAAGAAGCGGACTTCCACAAATTGTTGCGAGCAACAGACTCTTCATTTCTTTTATAAAAAATAAATTAGTGGAAATAGTAATCGAAACATGTTTGATCTTATGTAACACAACAACTTAAAATGATCTGAATAATTACTCAAATAGTAATTGAAACATGTTTGCCAACATTTTTTACATATTATTCTCTCTCCTATTAAATTTAAGATGTTAACGAGAAAATAAGAGATGATAAAAATCGGTTAATTCAACAAACTTTATCCCAACCAAATTCACGGGCGAATCTCGTGCATATTACGTGATTATACATGGTTCATATTTATTTTTCTAAGTAAAGCATTTTGAAGAATGAATAAGATGCAAAATAGGAGGAAGATGGTATTTTATGATATAAATTCCTTAATGTTAGCTACAGAGACATGACTGAAATATTTATTATGATAATGTGACATCCAAAATAGTAAGCACTTTTTAAGGTATTACATATGTTGACTATAACATTAGATGTCATCTCTCTTGATATTAAACATAGTGGAATTTAATAAATAGTTAAGTATTTGTACTTTGTTTTCAGACACGAGTCATTGTTTTAATATTTTGAACAGAACATCTTATTAGCCGATATTACTTCTTGATCGATAAGGTTTACTAGCTGTGAGCAAACAAGATCTTAGTGTATATTTGGCCTCCCTCATATATGATAAAAACCTATAAAAAAAATATTCAAAAGTCATTCCCCAGCTTATAGTTTAACAATGGCTTCCAGTTCCTACATCAAAATCAATTTCCTGGAGCTTTCAAATTTGTATTTACAATCGTAATAGAACTACATTGCATCTTTTCGGGCCGAAATAGTCATGTAGGTCCCCTCCGGTACGGTACGGTTGTAGCACCCCTTAATTTTTATTATGTGGTATAATAATAAATAATACATGCATATTATAGAATGAGAGTAATATAGTAAATAGTGAGATTTAGATGGCTTAGATGTTACTGATAAATAAAGTTGAGCAATAAGAGTAAATAAGGTAATTTAAAGGGGTTGATATGGTATTAGGAAACTTACCAATCAAGAAAATGACGTGGGTTCATTTATCAGATAATTGAGAAGGGAAATTTTATATTTCGAAAATTGAGAGAGAGCCGCGTGTCCCGAGGTGTAGAGTCATCATGCGTCTTCTTCCTCCGATCAATACCTCGTCATCTCGTCTCATATTCCCTCGTCACTCCCATTTTTACTCATCATATAAATTACACATCACCCAAAAATTCAAGAGATTGAATATCAAAAACCATAGAAAGAAATAAGAAGTAAGAAGTTAATTAGGTTCAATCGACGGAGAAAAGATGGTGACTTGACGATCTTTCCGGTGGAGTTCCAGCGAACGGGGTATAGCGTTAGAAAGCCCGCTGTTGAAGCTTTAATTCGATGGAAATTTCTACCCGTTTGATTTGGTGATGATAGCTCGATTTTGTCAAAGATATTCAGCCTACTGTAAATTTCATAATCCGATTTGAGGTATTTTGATTTCGAATTTCAATTTCATTTCTTTATACAAATCGTAGAATAGGTTGAATACTGTTAGAATAATTGATTTTCCCCAATTTTAGAACCCTTGTTAAAACTGGTTTTAACTCTACAGTAGCTTCACAAAAAAAAAAAAAAGTTCCGAAAATAAAACTTGTTGTTGTTACTCTGATTTTCGGAACACATTTTGGGAACTTTGGAATTTGAATTTTAAAATCGATTCTTCTATCATCATAGATTTTCTGGAGCACGTTAATTATATGTTGAAGCTTGTTCCATATGATTGAGTCCCATATGCTTTTTGAACAGAGGAATATGGGAGTTGAAGCGGTCAATTCTGGCAGCTCGTATGATTAATCATTTTGGGGTTGTTTCATATGTATTCGAGTTATTCAGCCTCAAGGGTGCATATAAAGCTAGGACGACGTAAAATGTATATTAATTTTATTTTAATAAATATTTGGTGTCTTATAGTTTAAATATTGCATAAGTGTTGAGATCGAGGAACCGTGCCCGACGAGTGCTATTGATTGGAAGGTGAGGGTTCTCTTGCTTGACCTTTTCTGGGAATAGGATAGACTCGGGTAATTGTATCGCTCGGGTACTTGGATTTTGCTCTCTTTCATTGAATTGATCTATCTGTCATCATTTTGATTATCGTTATTTGAAATTAATTGGATTATGTTGAGCGTGAGATTATTTGAGAAATGCTATCTTATCAAAGTTCAACTCAAAGATTTCCATTTCCCTCGAATAGTAATTATTGAGTGATCGGTATAAAATTCTATGAAGCCGATCGTTTTCCTTCAAGTTCAATTCAATGGTATAAACTTCATGTTTTGAACATCAAGCCTTTCTATGAGCCATTCACTTTATCATGTTTCTCATAAATTCTATTGTTTTTGAATAATATGGTCTTCTCACATGATCGATAAGTCATTTTGGGACGCCTCAAGGACAATGGATATTAATGGGCCCGGGGCTGTTTGGAGGTGACTGTTGGGTGATCTCGGGCAGACGGTGGGTAGTCTCTCCAACGGTACCCACATAGGTTTAGTTTTGTACACAACTGGAGGTTAGTTGGGTTTCGGGCTAAATCAGCATGCGCTCAGGCATGCCACATTGCATTACAGGGTCATTCTCTGCTCGGTAAATAAGGTAGTAAATGGCTAGGGGAGTTACAAGGTAGGTGTATTCTTATCTATTGATCGGAAAATCGATTGATCATTCTTACTATTCATCTTGAATTTCCAATCGAAGTATAATCTTTGAATGCTTCTATTTTCCGATATCACCTAATGGTTCGATCATCGACCTTTCTCTCGGATCATGTTATAACTTATTATTCTTATATTTCACCTCACTAAGTCTTCTATGACAGCTTGAATAAATCAGAGGATTTCCTGTCCGAGTAGCTACTTTATTTATATTTGTAAAATAGTGGTTCAATTAAGTTAAGAATAATCGTTGTCTTGTCTTATAAATATTAGTGTGTGAACTTATATATGTTATAGTATTGTAATCTCATAAGCCATAAGATGTTGTTATAACAGTTCGTAACCCTTGTACTTTACCATAATAGACGTAAGGTTGTTGATAAATAAATCGTACGTATTTTTCTGAATGATAGATTCATTAGTAGTATTCAAAAAAAAAAATAGACAGGTTCTTTCAATAGAGTAATTTGACAAACGGTTGAAATAGAAGGCGGGCGTCACATTGACATAGGAGGCGGGCGACACAACGTTGGTGTCGATGTTTTTGTAGATATCAATTTAATTTAAACGTCACCTCCACAAGTCTGCTCAGACCTGTGTTAATGACAATGTCTCAGTTATTACAAAATATTACATTTCCATCGTTGTTGCAGTGACTCGCGGTGGAAAAAGGTTGAAGACGAAGCCATTGACGGTGAGATTCAATCGTGATGTTCTTGTGTTGTAGATGGTTGATGGAGAGGATGCGCACTTGCGTATACGTATTGCAATCAAAAAAAATATTTGTTGTAATACCTACACGCAAGTGCACGTCCCGCACAAATAATATAGTGGACAATTAAGTCCAAGTATCGATCCCACGAGAAATATTCAACTATCTAATTTTAAGTGCTAAATTATCGCAACTATGTTCAAGCCACCCTACACTGTCTAATTTCAAGTTGGTTTGACCAAATTATGAGTAAATTAAACTAAATTATAGAAATCGGACTAAATGCAAGAGCAAATAACCAATTAACACGAAGATTAATTAGATTAAAAAATCTAGGATTTTATCTTCCCCTATGTGATTATTAATCCCCCAAATTCCTTCAGTTATGCAATCAAATAACTCAGATTACTAACAGGAGATGCTAAATTAATTAGAATTCGCTTCCACGTATATTATGATTCTATTATTCATGACTTAATTATAGTATTAATACGCAATTCAATCAAGAACGAAGCATTAATCACAAATCTCAATCTTTAAGTAGAATTTATGGTCCGCCACACTTGTTTTCATATTTATCCCAATCACCTATGATTTGCTTCAAAAGTTTAGAGGCCATATCTCCCGTCGCTGGTTATTTGAATGAATGTGTAATTAATGAATCAATAGTATCCAAAGATGAAATTGCGGAAAAAGAAGTTGGGATTAAATCAACCGTTTGCTAATTGATGATGATAATACTAGTAGAAAAATGGTTTTTTATTACGAATTTTTTTTTTCTACGGTAAAAAGCCATAACAAAAAATACACATTTCACTATGGGACAATCTTGGAATTGTAGTAAAGCCTAAGATATACCGTTGCAAAAACATATACTAGGTAAAATGGCTTTGTTCCCCTATATAGTTATATGATTCTACACTGGATCACTTTTATACACCTAAGCGTATATTGTGTATTAGAAGAATTACTATGTAACATTCAATAATGACATATTATTCTTATGACACATCAAAATATACGTATTTCTGCCCGCATGGGTATAACTCAACCGGTTCCGGGGTGGTAAGTTGGTGCAAGGTCCTAGTATCGAATCCTGGCAGCCGTAATGTGGAAATTTCAACTCCAATGAGGGTTGGTTCCTTGTGGGCATTAGGTCCGGGTCCGTTACCCTAACGGACCGTTGAGTCACCATGAATTTTACATCCCTCCATCAAATACTTGTCAGGCTAATGAATGGAGGCTCTGGGGACGAGAGATTCCGCTTTTTGGTGCAAGATATAAACAATCCAACCAACTTGGATAAAACATATATAAGTGTGAGTAATTGAGTACTTCAATTGAGAAATATTTAATTAAATGTGCGATCGATATCCGACTCATACAGTATTTACTACTAACAGCGATATTCGAACTTGCACGTAGGTTTTTGACCAACAAACATAAACACGCAAATGTTCATTAATTAGTATTTAGTTTCAATAGTAATTAAGTCACAATTATATGTGTGACCAAAATATTAGTTAGATCATGACTTATATACTTATAGCTTCTATATATCCCTATACATTTTTCCTACTTACAATATACCAACATTTCTATAAGCAGTTTGTGGGCAGGACAACGCCAAATGCCGTTCCCCCAGCGTTCGCACACGACGCTATAGCTGATTTGTTTTTGAAGGTGAGGTCGACTCCGTCCAGCATTATTCCACTGCAAGGGTTTGTTTTGCTGCAATCGAATTTTATCGCAACTTGCGATGCTGATATTCCGTGTACGTCTTCGTATTTTATGTTGCTAATTTTCACGCCCGAGCCCTGAAATATTATTACATCAAATAGTGTTAGTGCTAAGTATACATAATATTTATCCCTTTTAAAGTTACAAGTTATTAGAAAATTTAGATTAGATTTATTAAAGTAGTTAATTATAATTTGATATCATGATACCTGGGTTGGACAATTATGGTGGTCGGGACAGTAATTTTGGTCGATAATAATAGGGTTTTGGGAATTAAGGATGACAATATGCTGAAAAAGAATATCTCTAACAAATCCATTGCTAGGCCTCGCCCACGTCTTCACCCGAACACCGTTTTGAGTTCCCGTGAAAGTCGCCAACTTCACCGTCACATTTTGCACTCCAGCCTCTTGTAAATCCCACCCTAAGCTCCCTATACTGCAAAACGTACCAAAATAGATATTCAGTTATACGCTTGTGTATAACTTTCACATGATTAACATCCAATTGAATTTTTTTTATAGGAATAATGTAATTTTGGTCCTCCATATTCGCTTGCTTAGTGATTTAGTTCTCAAATTGATCATATTTTAATATTTTTTTTAACATGTAATAATTATGCAAAATTAGTATTCGAACTTTGAATTTTACCGTTGTTTAATGATGTAGCTGACAAACTAGTCGAAATTTGTTTACATGGATGCTTAAAATTTAGAAATTAAAGGGTCTTCTGATTAGTTTATAAATTCATCCTCTCACATAATCAAAGTTCTATATCAAGGCTAAGTTCGATGTCGCATTTATAATTTTTAAGCACTCATATTAGTAAAATCCGTCGGGTTTATTTGTTGTTTCATTAAATTCAAATTCATGCAAAATGGGATCAAAAATATAATATTTGCAAAGTTATTGCAAAATTGAAACAATGACAAGTTAGAGGACTAAAACCTTATACATATATAGGCCAATATAGAGGACCAAAACTACCATTTTCCGTTTTCTGTTCATGTATATATTTTCTCGATTTTTATATTCTTAATTCGTGTTTGGTGACAAAATTAAGAGAGAGAAAATAGGACCTAGCTATAATTATATATTAGTACCTTATACCGTGACCGGGCCCACAAGAAAGGTTTTCGATCCACAAGTTGGAGGAGCCGGGGCCTATAGAGACGCAGTCGTCACCGGTGCCAATTCGAGAGTTTGAAATAGTGACCGTCGATGACTGTTGAACGTGAATTCCATCGGTGTTTGGGCTATTTCCCGGGGCTGATATTTTCATATTAATTAGATTTGCATTTTTGCATCCTTCTATCAGAATGTGAAACATTTGGCTGTTTAATGAGGACACTGAATCTATGATTATGTTGTTTGAATTGTAGAATGCCAGTGACTGCAAAAAAAAAAAAAAACAAATGATTAAATTAGTAATATGTTGTAAATGAATGAAATAAGGAAACAACTTCATCATTAAATTGATAAAAAAATGTCACTGAAATTTCCCTATATCTTTTTTTTTAAATAACACACTCGACCCATTTGTAGTTCACTGGTTGACCACTCATGAAATATAATATAATGTAGTAGCTATAGCTAAGTGTTGGAGATGTGGGTTTAGATTAATAGAATAAAATTGGGAGACATGTAACAAACATCTCCAATTATTTTTCTCTAAGTCCTAAAGAATTTGAAAATTGGTTAATAAGTCAACTTAATAAAGATTAGTATATTTATTTCATGCAAATTAAAATTGGTATATTTAATTAGTATTTTGTCAACTTACCGTAGCTCCCTTGGGGCAAATCTTGCCGGAGTTCTTGCAAGCCCACAATTTCGACCCTTGACCGTCTAGGGTTCCGCCAAGTATGGAAACTCCGGTGACCCTTTCGAACTTCAACCAATTACCGCTATTCCCGATCACATTATAATTCGAAGGAGCAACAATAGTGCCATCAATTCGAATCGTGATCGCAGTATTCTTGCACAATTTGCCACTAAACGTTACGCTTCGGACCAAAAATCGACCCGGTGGGACATAAATTGTGGCCGGTTGAGTGGTGGTGCAGGCTGTATTCCATGCACTTAGAAAAGCCTTTGTGGAGTCGGATTTTCCGTTGGGTTTCGCTCCGAAATTTTGCACATTGTAGCTAGGGTTATTATTGGCTGCAAATGAGTAGTAATAGAAGAAGAAGAAGGTGAAAATGAGAATTTGTATGATTTGGCTATGATACATTTTTTTTAGATTGTGTACTTGTTGTGTCGTGTATTGTGTTGTTTTGGTGTGTGATGTGTGTGTATTTATAGGATTATATTTTTTTGATGAGAATAGTGGCTGCCTAATTTTGGGAAAACCAAATGAATATGTACATATGTTAGTCAAATATATGCATTATTTATGTTGGTCACTTTTAATGTTACATGCTACAACTAACGAAACCTGTTTTTTGGTTGCCGTGATGAATACGTTAATTTTTTGTAATTATATCTAGGGATGTAAATGCCCGAACTCGAGCTTAGCTGTTTTGGCGACTTCGAATTCATTTTGACGAACTCAAGCTTAAGCTTTTCGAATATTTGTTTCTGGGCTAAAGCTCGAGCTCGAGCTCGAGCTCGAGCATGAACCGTTTTGTCATTTGTATTTATTTTATTTATTTTATTAATATCCAATATAATTTTATTATTATCAATTACAATTATAAAAAAAATTGAGTTGTAATTTATTTATTTTTTAATTACTTTTATAAATTTATTATTTATTTTATATTAACTATATTGAAATTAAAAAAAAATATATATTGCGAGTTCAAGAACAACTAAGAATTAGATCCGGCTCTATTCGTCCAAAAACTCGAGCTCCATCTCGAAAAAATCGAGTTCGAGCTTTTGTTGAGCTGGCACCGACGAAATTAATATTTCAAAAATTATGAAGTATTGGGTTTTCATTTTACTAAAGTATGCAAGTGTGATTTCTGCTAGTGCTTTATTACTAATAATAAATAAAAAAATTGCACAACTGATTATGCTAGAATTTGTGACGATTAATGATTAATTAAGACTCTAATATTAGTTTAAGAGCCATGTTATTATAATTCCGTTTGTGCATTTTTTTAGCTCATTATCTAAAGTACTAATCCATTATATTAACAGAGATTCAATGAATAAAGTACATATACATAATACATAAACTATATACTATAATTGTATAGGAAGAATAGAATAGGAGAAGAAGAGAAATAATAATACGTAGAATAGAAACCCCCATTATGTTATGGGTTGATTACATGGAATATATATAGAGAAATATTCCAAGGTAATAGAGTTTCACTAGGTAACTAAATCCTAACTAATCTAGGTAACCGAATCATACTAGAATCCTAATATCCTATAATATCTAATATAATAATATACTCTAACACGCCCCCGCAGTCGAAACGTGACGAACGTGAAGACTGGACAATCACTTGCTAACACGCTCCCGCAGTCGGAACGAATAAACTCGACTGGACAATCCCTTGCTAACACGCTCCCGCAGTCGGAACGAATAAACTTCAAAAGTGAAGACTGGACACAAATCGCGAAACACAACGCTAGAGAATTCCTCTATGGAAATATCTGCCCAATTGATAAAAGAAAAAAAAATAATAATAATAATAAACGGGTGAGAGAAAATAAGCAACTTTTTTTTTTTTTTTTTTTTAATCGAGATAGAGAGAAGAGATGAGAGAGGGGTCGCCGGCCATGGAGAAGAAGAGAGGCAGCGGCTAGGTTTTAGGCCATGGAGAAGAAGAAGAAGAAGAAAAAGAAAGAGATGGAGAAGATGCACCACCGGGGAGGAAGAAGATTGGGTGGTGTTTGCCGGCCATGGAGAGGAGAAGAGGCGACGGCCATGGAGAAGGAGAAGAAGAAGAAGATAGAAAAAGAAAAACGTAAAGAAAAATATTAGAGTACCACCACCGGGGGAGGGAGAAGATTGGGTGGTCACCGCCATGGAGAAGAAAGGCGGCTAGGTTATCACCGCCATGGAGAAGGAAGGCGGCTAGGTTAAAAAACCTAAACCTGGTGCTCTGATACCATATAGGAAGAATATAATAGGAGAAGAAGAGAAATAATAGAATAGAAACCCCCATTATGTTATGGGTTGATTACATGGAATATATATAGAGAAATATTCCAAGGTAATAGAGTTTCACTAGGTAACTAAATCCTAACTAATCTAGGTAACCGAATCATACTAGAATCCTAATATCCTATAATATCTAATATAATAATATACTCTAACAGAAAATGTAAAGGAGTTGACATTAAATTAATCCATAATAATAATAATAATAATAATAATAATAATAATAATAATAATAATAATAATAATAATAATAATAATAAAAATAATGATTGATATGTAACATGGAATTACAAGAATTTTGGCAAAAATGTAGGGAAGACAGTGGAGGATGTTTATTTTACAACCTGCTTATCACCTCAAACATGCAAGTTAGAAAAAGGCAAAATAAACTATATACTATTATATTTTTTGAAATTAATTAATGTAATGAAATTAAGTATGAAAATGTTAGTACACGTGGCACATGGGAAGCTATTATCTTCAAATTTGAGGTTTAGATTTATTCCATACTACAAGTGGGTGGGTGATACATGCCTCGTGTAGGGATGGCCATGGGTTGGGTTTTGCATTCTCGGCCCTCGCCCCGTTAAGAAATCAATTCAACTCGCATCTGTCTTGTTCCGCAATAGATATAAATTTTACCAACCCATACTCGCCCCATAGAAAACCAGTGGGTACCAGCCCCGCCAAAAATCCCGTGAAAATTGAAGAAGAAAAAAGAATATATTGATATATGCGGGGCGGGTGGGTATACACAAATCGAGCACCCGTTCCATTTATTTTCGGGGCGGGCATTACAGGGAAATTTCGGGGCGGGTCGGGGCGGGGTATCTGCGGGTCGGATAAAAATTGACATATATCCCTAACCTGATATACTATTATTATCATTATTTATTCGGGAAAATTACAACCACCCCCTTGAGGTATGGTCAATTCATGAAAAAATCCCTCTTGTTTGGATAATTACATCTACCCCTCAACTATGATTTTTTCTTACACCTCCACCCTTGTGGTGTCAAATTCAACATAATCATCTAGATTTCGTGGAATGTGCTCTAGTTTCTACTCGTTTTGTGTAAAAATACAGTTTATGATGCACCACAATCTGATATATACAAGCCAAAAAACACATACTGTGATCAACTTGTTTCAAAATGTGGAGTTCGAATGGATACAAAAGCAATAATATTTCATCTACTATCGAAAATTCCACTAAATTTGAAACCGCAAGGGTGGACGTGTAAGAAAATTTATAATTGACGGGGTGGTTATAATTACCCGAACATAAGGGGAATTTTCGTAATTTGACCATATCTTAGGGGTGGTTGTAATTTACCCTTATTTATTCATACAAAAACTAATTATAGATAATTATATGTGTTGGTGGTGAATTATTTACACCATGTATATTTTATCCGATGTTATCGTAAATTCTTGTTAAAGAATAGCCCATATGTTCCATACTATATGTCATTTTGGCGTTTTTTTTTTTGTCATAAATTATTTGTTATTTTAGAGTTTCAATAAAGTATTAATTGTATCTTTTATCAATTTTGTCCATATCATTCTTAATTATTTAATTAAAAAAATTAATGACACGAGTATTCTAGTATTTGCTATGTTATTTTTAGAATAATGTATGCATATTTATTCAGTATCTTAATAGTATTTTAATATACGCAGAACCACCCAAAACAACGTATAATATGTGGCAAGGAACAACTAATTAATTAGTTATTGCCAAACTAATTAATGTCATGTCGATGTTAAAGGTCAAAAGAATACCACATGGAATTGTCTAAATTTTAAGCCAGAAAACAGTAATTACTGCCAGAAATGAGGATTAATTCCTAAAACAATTATGAACATATATATGTAACATAGTTTATACGTGGAATTGTCAAAAGTATCGTTGAAATTGAATATGTTTAATTACAAATATAAATAAAAATTGATCACATTCAAAATCACGTGGGGATAGCAGCTCTTAATTGACAAATATATTTGAATTTAAAACACAAAAGTACCTCTAAACAAGTCATGAGGTGCACATTATGCTAATGTTTTTATTTTAATATTGAGTAAAATTGACGATATCCATTAGTTTTCATTTTCTTCTTTTTTTTTTTTTTTTTTTTTTTTTTTTTTTTTTTAATTAAGGTTTGGTTAAGTGGTACGATGAGCTTCTCATAGTGGTGTTTGGTGAGGGATCTGAAGTTCGACTTCATTTGGATGCATGCATTCAAAGGTCGTACATATTAATTAGAATGCCAAATCTTTTTATAAGAAAAATAAAAAAAGAGAACAAAAACAAAAAGAAAAAAAAATCCGCTAATCGATGAAATACACCATTTAACAGTAGCAAACTATAAATAGCTTATTTACAATATATAAATTTCAATTATATATTACTCCCTCGTTTTTAAATAATAGTCGTTTTTCAACTTTGCACAAATATTAAGAATTTCAATAAATATTTCTTAATTTTAGAAGGATTTTTTTTGAAAGACTAAAATAACCTTGATGATTTAATGATTTGATAGAGATAATTAATTTCAGAGTTTATGGATAAAAAAAAATACATTTAATACAGTGTTAGAGCAACTCCAATGCTAGATATTAAAATTGATATTTGAGAATTATTTTAGTATTGATTTAAAATTCATCTTCTCCAACCATGGTTATCAAATTAATTATCAATTGAAAGTTTATGGGGAGTTTTATTTGTAGTTGTCACGTGTCAACTTTTGATTGGATGTTTAGGAGGTTACATTTTTTATAACTCAATTTCCAGCAAGTATTATTACAATCGAAAAGGTGTCAACTTTTGATTGGATGTTTAGGAGGTTACATTTTTTATAACTCAATTTCCAGCAAGTATTATTACAATCGAAAAGGTGAAATATCAAAGAAACCTCATTTGATAACTTCATTGAAATTAAAGATTTCTAATTTTAAATATGTAAATGGGGATTAAATGTTGGAATACTCTATTTGATAATCCATTGGAGTTGCTCTTATAATTATAAAGTGACAGAAAATATGAAATAAAAACATTTGTTGGGAAGTGTTGAACGGAGGGAGCTACAACCGCTCAAAATCCATATTTTTTAAAGGGTAAATAGCACTTAACCCCCATGTGGTTTCCACGTTGTGCACTTTACCTCCCTCTGATA